ATAATCAGAAGCTAATAACCTTTTTACTATTTTTTCTTTAATATCAAATTAGTCACTTCTCAACAATGTTTGACTGAGCACACGATTGCATATATAAGATAAACTAATATAGTTATTTCTATTACTAACTATTATATAATTATCTATCAATAGTATAAAAATGATAAATTAACCTACAACTATCACATATAATATATTATAAATGTGTATTAAACAAATTGAATGTGGATATTGTTGGGGTAGAACACCAAGCGCAGCGGACAAAAATACCTCTTCAACAAATATGACAAGTACTACTCCAAATGAAAATAAACCAACACAAATAAATAAAAGACGAGAAATAAAAAGGACACAAAAATTGATAACGGAGTTCGGCGAAAATAGCCTGACGTCTCCGGACACCGCCAACCGCAACGCCAAATTTACTAAACTCACCAACAAAATACAACTGGGGTTAAATAACCCAGAAATTAAGATTTCCTTAATTAAGGATTTCCTTCTAAGAGAGGAGAGAATAGAATAAGGTGCAATTGTAATCCAAAGGCAATGGACCTATTTATACTAATAAGATCCTACACATCTTTGGTATACATTCGATGTGGGACAACAAATTGATCAAAAACTAACAGATATAAGATATATTCATGATATATCCATCTCACATATATTTGATAAATTGTACTAGAAAAATAAGTAAAAAATTGATGGAAACATATGACAGTAAGGCTGCTTAAAGCAACCATATTTTTCAATAAATGTGCATGTTTTAAATTCAAACGCTATACTCTACAAAACATATATAAATGTAAGATATTTCATATATAATATACCTATGAATTTTTGTTTATAATAAATAGTATAACAGATTGACTCGCCTAATAATGGTTAGGTGCCCACACCAGAATTTGTAAACATATAATTATTATCAACATTATGTATGCGAGAAGAAGTAAATGAGACGCACATCAGACCACAAAGTGATTATTTCTTTGCATGAAAAAAATAAAGTATTAATATGCGTGAAAGAACAAATAAAAAGTAATAAATGATATTTTATAAAAAAAATAATGCAACAAAAAATATTCAGATATTAAATATTAATATGCCTAAATTACAGACTTTTTAAATTGCTATGATTTTTTCCCCCATTTTATACTTGTAGCTAACATTTAAGCTTTTAGACCCAATAATAAATCCATTATCATAAATAAGGATGCAATAACATCAACTTTCAACATTAAATAATTTGAATTTTACAAAATTTATAGTAAATAGATTAGACATTATTAATGGTTTCAAAGTAAATGTGACCAATTAAAAGTATCTAAATGTAATAAAAAAAAATTATCTTATCCCTTTCAAATTATTTTGAGATATAATTTTCATTCAAATATTATCACATCATTTTTTTCATCATTGTCTACGAGAAAAACTTAAAAACAAATGTCCACCACCCCGCGAGTAGACTGCCTAATGGAAACATTTTCAAATAATATTATTGGAAGAGTAAAATTATAGAGGAAGTGTCAGAATATAAAAACTATAATATTTTATTAGTAATGTTTTAATTATGATTATTTTCTTTTTCACGTCTAAAAACATTGAAAAAAGATAAACTAATATAAAGTGAAAGCATGATTTTAAAAGTCATAAAAAATTACAAAATATAATATAAAAATGGAATAAAATTGAATTAAAATAATATAGGAATACGGTTTTGCTATGAAGCCATCGGATGGCTCGACTTATGGAGTCATCCATAGTTATCCACAAATTGTGTATTGATACGTTTCCTGCAATAAATACACATTGGGCACATGTCAATACGTTTCTTACAATAAATACACACTAGTACAACACCCATGTATTACATGGGTGGCGACAGTGCCTCGTTCATGGACGGATTCATAAAAGTGGGATGGGTATCCGGACAAGTCAAATCCAAGACCGTCCCGGCTGGCGCCCACCCTTACCATAAATAATCAACATATTATAGATAATCCGAACCTAAATATATTTGGATTAGAAGTAAACTAAATCTACTCAAGCCTAATAACGAAGTATATATTTTTGCCACATAGGATCCCGAAGCATGCGAGTCTGCCACATAGGCTCAGCACGTTCTCAATTAATATATAGGGAGGGATTATGCACATGTCAATACCTAAAGTTATGGATGGCTTCATAGAATTACGTTAAAGAACTTAGTATTTTATAAATTATTATTTTAATCACAATCATTTCAACTGCTAAGACCAAAATAATTTATCCTGATAATTAAAAAAAATATAACAAGTACACCCTTCAATCCCCAAATTTGATGGATAGTAACGACTATATAATGATTTTTAAATTATTCATTTTTTTGAGGAATTAAATTTCAAAATGTACTAAATAAACAATGAGAGTTCATAAAAAAGTCAATATTTTAATATTTAATCTATTAAAACTATTTTTTAATTTTAGAATAATTTTTTGAATTTATCTGTAACTTTTGAGCTTACCTTATCTATGTATCATATATATAAGATAATTATTTTTTATTATTCTATAAGGACAATTTTATAGTTTCTTTTTGACTTAACAAGTGGATAATAAGTGAAACAATATTGTTCAATATCTTTTAATATATAGTATGAGAGATCACTTGTTGGATGATTATGCATTAATTATCTAGAAAATATTTATTTTAATATTAACAGAAATATAATTGTAATTTGATTCCAGAATATTAGCCCAAAGTATGAGAACTCAACAAAAATAGACATTGTAATATTTTAAACTGTTACTTCGATTGTGTTATTTAATATGTAATTTTATAAGCTCTTTAAGTATTATTTTAATTTTTTTTTCCGAAACGATAGATGTTTTATAAAAAGTACAAAAATGCAAGAAAATTAGGCAAAAGCTGAAAGATACACAGCTAATGGCTGAACGACTAGAGGACAGATCCGAAAATCGCCTAGAGCTAGACATGGCCACGGGTTAAGCGTCCCGCCGACCCGGCCGGACCCGGCCCGGACCCAACCCGGTCAAACCCGTTGACCACGAGTCCGGAACTGGCTCGGATTTCATACGGGCCGTGTAAGGGTCATCCATTTCATGAACCGGCCTGGCAGGTCTGGGCCGAGCCGGGTCGATGACCCTCCTTTCCTATTTTTTTTTTTATTTTTTTCTATTGTTTTTTTTAAAAAAGCCCGGACACGACCCAACCCCGACATGAACCCGGCACGAGTATAGGTCCGTGCCAGTTCAGGGTCAGTGTTTTCGAGCTCGGCGAGCCGGGCCGGGCAAAGCTTTGGCCATGTCTACCTAGAGCTTAACTAACAATGCTAGAACACCAAACTCACAACACTAGAAAACCCAACAAAACACAACAAAACTACAAAGCTCCCAAAAAGAGAATCAACGATCCCAACAGGATATTGCCTGCTCTCACTCAGGTAAAAAACAAAGGTCAATGGCCCAAACAAAAAACATAAACCTAACAAGCAAACAAACAAGGCTAAACAAACATAACAAACAAACAACGGCACAAGAACCTCTATAACTACCAAACGAGCCCTTCCCCAGCAAATCTACCGAAAGTCGCCCAAGGAGAGATCCACAGCATGAGAAACCATTCCCGAAACTACTGAAAACCGCCTAGCTGAAACGGAGACCCAAGCCCATAACTCAACCTGTGAACAAACCCGCCCCTTTGCCAAGGGCCAAGAAACCAAGATCACCCCCACAACACGAATGCCTCGAACCGGCTAACACCACTTAGCCAAAACGGAAGCACCGGTCTCCCCCAGACCCAGAGACACAGAGGAAAAGAGAATGAAAGAGGCACCTTGCCTGCACGATACACCAGCGCCCACTCGGCCGACCCCACTAATCAATTTTCCCACCCCACCCCGCCGGCACGAACTCGACCAACACCACTAGTCAAACGGCCCAAGCCACAACCAAACCCGATAGAAAACCCCACCCAGCGCACTAATGATTATTATTCTTGATAATGGTCATAATGAATACAATTCATCGACTACTATATCATATTTAGAGAAATATTTTAAAATATATTAAATAAAATATTTATCATTCTTTTTATTATCTCTATACATGTTTTTTGTATATTTTTTTATTTATCTAAATTATAATTCACCTAAATCATTTTTAAAATCAGGCCACGCAACGCGCGGGTGACATACTAGTAATTAAATATTTCAGATTTTATATGGGTGGGCGAGATGTTAAATGGTCCTTGGCCCGACGGGCCAGCCCGTTTAGTCCGAAAAAAGGAACAAGGTTAGAGCCCTTTATTGGTAGCCCGTTTAAATCAAGATTTTTTAAGCCCAAACCGTTTAGACCGAAGCCCGCTAGGGCTAGCCCGAAACCCACTATGGCTGGCCCGTTTGACTTGGGTAGGCAGTGTAAATGTTTGCAACAAATAAGTAATATGCTCTTAGATTCTTTGTATATTACAATTTTGCTATTCCACTTCACATTTAAGTATGAGCTGTAACGTATTATTATGATTTGAAAGATAATTATTAACAATATTGTTATTGTACTTCACATCAAAATATTTAAATCAATGAGAACGACTAATAGGAAACACATAGACAAAGACCTAACACATGAAACATAGTTGTATAAGTTATAATGGTACAATATCGTGACAAAGACCTAAATAATCGTTGAAAACAATCGTTAATTAGCCGTTGTATTTTTTTTTATATATTTTTTTTATTCTTTTATTTTTTATTTTTTTGGTATATTATTATTATTATTATTATTATTATTATAGCCTGCATAACCTGTTTAGCCCGAGGCCTGCTAAGGTTAGGGTTAGGTCTCTTTATTGGTAACTCGTTTAAATTCGAGCTTTTTAGGGCAAGACCTAAACGCAAAATCCGTTAGGACTATCCCAAAATCGTTATGGCTAGCCTGTTTAACATCTCTAGGTGGGTCTCTTCAATTTGAAACTCAACCAATTTATTTATAAGACAACGAAACGTCTTCTTGGTTGGTTGTGACATTAAATATGAAACAACAATAATCAAATTTAAAAAAATGTCGCTTTACACTTCTGAAAACACCGACCAGAAATTGCCCCTTTCTCTTTAATTCGATCATCATCATCATCAACTGGCTAACTCATTTCAACCACAATGGGCTTCGTTACTGAAGAAGCCATCAAGCTGTTCCAATCCCACTTGGACAGAAGTCAGTTCAACATTCCAATCCATTTGGGATTTTTGCTTTTTTTTTTTCTTTCTTTCTTTATTTGTTGTTTTCGTGATCCTTGGATCTGGCGGATGCTGATGCTTTTGATTTTGTTCTTGCAGTTGATGATCCACTGAAAAAAACTTTCCAGGTTTGTCATTGTTAGTTATCTCTTCACTTTTTTTTTGGTATGGAGAAGTGATTATAATTGTTATCATTGTTAAATGAATAAAAGAAACTGATTCTTTTTNCGATGATAGTGATAGCAATGGCGTTCCAACTTTTCGGATGGGATAATGTAAGAGTCAATGTCAAGTCAATTCACTGGGTTTAGGAGGAATTTTTAGGTGACCTAACTGAGTTAGGGGTTACTTGATTATACCATGCTTGAGTTATTTTGCAATTTGTGCTTGGCTTAACTCGATCCGGTCAGGTCTCTCATTTATACTTGATTATACCATGCTTGAGTTATTTTGCAATTTTGTGCTTGGCTTAACTTGATCCGGCCAGGTCTCTCATTGATCTGCAGTATTTATTTATATTTATTTATTTTATAGTAATTATTAACTAGAAACGATGAGTGATCTATGTTTCTTTGAGTTCTATATATAAAATCAAACAGGCTGGTCAACAAGAAAATATTAATTGTGAAAGGTGCCACAAATGAAAATTCTGGGAGGGGAAGTGTAAATGTTTCGATGATGAATTTATATGAATTATGCAATTGCTCACTACTGTAGAGTTTTATTGAATCACATCTGATTATCTTATGATAATATTCAGAATATACACAATGGTTACCAAAGGGAGACTTTGTTGAGATTTCTTAAAGCAAGGGATGGGGATGTCTCCAATGCACATAAGATGGTTTGCTTCAGTTGACTATCATTAGTAAATTATCATCATCATTATTTGGTGGTAACAGTATCTCATATACATTTCAGCTCATCGATTGTTTAAACTGGAGAATACAAAATGATATTGATGACATATTGGCAGTAAGTGTTTGGATTTTTATCTTTACCTTGTTTTATCGTGTTCTTTCTGTTCTGTCTGTATTCTTTGGTATTATGTTGCACTGGTAAATTTAAATGCTTTTTCTTTTTTTTTTCGGCAGAAGCCAATTATCCCCACTGATGTATATAGAGGAATACGGGATTCCCAGCTTTTAGGCATGTCTGGATTCTCTAAACAGGTATCCTTTTGTATGTTTTTATCAATTAGAAGGGTAATTTTGTTGTTCCTTTGAAGATTTGGGACGTGTAATTTAAACACTGATGTGTAAAAGATAATTCCAATTGTGATACTCTCCTTTGCCTGTTGTTAATTCATAGGGTCTTCCTGTCATTGTTGTTGGTGTCGGGCTCAGCACATTTGACAAAGCATCTGTAAGATTTCATAATTGTGATGGATCAGTGTTAATATACTTTCTTATTTTTCTTTTTCTTTTTTACATTTTTATTTTTTTTCACGCGGGGAAGTTGGGTTCTTGTACTGCTTGCTAATGCTTATTGTCTCTTTCTTAGAATAACTACTATGTACAATCACACATCCAAATGAATGAGTATAGAGATCGTGTAATATTAGTAAGTATCTGAATCAACTGAATCTCTGTGTGAAATTGTAAAAATATCTATGGCTTCCTGTTAAACTCACTATGCATTTCCTCGTATAGCCTTCTGCAACAAAGAAGTATGGACGTTACATTGGCACATGCATAAAAATTCTGGACATGACTGGTCTAAAGCTTTCTGCTTTGAATCAAATCAAGGTATCTGTTCGTCTTCCCCAGAAATCATTCTACTTTTCCTTATCTAATTTGGTTCTTGTAATTCCACCAGTGCTGAATATCCAAGTAGAATTCATTTCTGTGTAGTGTAAGCCTATTTAATTAGTTCTGCTTTTATTCATTTGATTTTATTTTTCTTTGACAAATGACACATTTCAAGTTCGATAATTGTTCATTTCTGGTTTTGACATATTTGTGCATCATATTTCTTTTGGTGCAGTTATTGTCTGCGATATCGACTATTGATGACCTGAACTATCCAGAGAAAACGGAAACTTATTACATAGTCAACGCACCATACATATTTTCCTCGTGTTGGAAGGTTCAAAATGTCGCACACTATGCATTTCCTTCAGTTGGCATGTACAAAAACCGAACTCAACACGAACGCTAATCNGAAAGGCTTCATGATTAAACTATTTTTACATTGTGCATTATTTGGAGAAAACTAGTAATTGTGTTCCTCGTAATCTGTGCAGATTATGGATTATGAATCTCTGCCGCACTTTTGTAGAAGAGAAGGCTCGGGTTCGTCTCGACACTATAAAAATGGAACTATGACTAGTGATTGTTTCTCACTGGACCATGCTTTTCACCAGCAGCTTTATAGCTACATTAAATCGCAAGCCGAGTCGAATAGTGGGCCCACCAAACACGGGTCGCTCCATATGGATATTCCAGAACCCGACCCAGAGGATGTGAAAATCGCTCAATCTATAGAATCCGAGATCCATAAACTTGAGAACAAAAACGGGCTCTCCCACTCGTTGCATGAGCTCAGGATAAGTGGGGATTGAAAATGTTGTGGGCTTGTGTTGATGATAATGTAAGTAGTAACTTTATTTTCGAAATAGTGTCATGTTATATATAAACGAGCACATACAGTTGCTCTTGCTGTGTTTGTGTTTTATTCTGGAATCGGAGTGTCTTGGCTTGGATGCCACATCTTCAGATGGGATATATCATTGAAAATAAGCATATTTTTTTTTTCGGTCTGTGGAGTTTTAAAAGATATCAGCATCACTGCATTTTATGTATTTTCATTCTTCTCCTTCTTGCTCTCCATTAAAGGGGGTTTGTGATTGTAGTAGTCCTGTGATCAGAGAATCATTATAAAACACAAACTTAACAAAGGTAGGATTGGAAGTTGCATTTCTTTTACACTGAAATAAATCGAAATCTATCCGTCTATCCAAATGAAGCTCAATTCTTTTTGGTCAAAGTGTAGCCGTAGCAAACCTCGTCATTAATTGCTTCACCTAAACTGAAATAAGATTAAATTTTGATTCTTATTTAAAAAAAAAAAAGCAAATATAAATATTTGATATGGGATACTATGTCACCCGTTAGGTCGCTTACGATCTAACAGCAACCCGAGTGCTTTAAATGGACCAGTAGGCCAAGGGGAGGACGGAAAGTAATGAGACTTTGAGGTTACTAGAGTACAAAGTCGGTGGTGACCTATGAGGTAGAAGCAGTTCAACAACATGTCGAGTTGGGCCCTCGGTTAGCCTGATGAAAATTCGACCAGGAAGAGAAGATGTCAACGTAGGACCCAAAAAGCAGACTTACTCATTGAAGATCATAACGACCCAGTTCAAAGGGAATCGAGACAATAACACAATTATATGCTTAAAGTAAATAACAATTGAGGTAGACTAATGCGAGCACACCAAAATAATTGATAAGTACGAATATAATTAGGATAAGAAGGGCACGTGGATAGGACCACGTGGCTAACAGGACTGGGCAGTTCGGGCACCCGAGTAGTGTGATCGGACAGTTCGTGCACTTGGGTAGCAAGACAGGGCAAATCTTGGGCAACAAAGTAACACCTATATATAAAAGGGTGATGTATGATCATCATCTCTCTACACACTAATATTTTAGACTCACATACACTATATACATCATCTTCCTCAAATACTGACTTCAGCGTTGGAGCTTCTATGTCGAGAAAAACTCTGACACTGTTTTGCAAGTGTAATTCCAGCAATTCAAGGACAGTTCGAGGGAAGTTGAACCAGATCGAGGTCGTTTACACTACCATTTTGTGTCGTATGTGGAAAGTTTCATTCAAAAAGCCAGCAAACACCACTTACGATGGCAAACAAGAACCTGGAGCCCAGCTTCGACAAGGCTTAGGTTTTCAGTCGTCTGAGGCCCACCACCAGGTTTTTAAATAATTAATAAAAAATATTAAAAACTATTATTTTGCCCGAACGGTGGCCGAAGAGGGAATGGTCAGCCGCCATAGCTGGCGGCATTGCGTCTGGTCGGCAAAAGTTACCGACTACCCATTGGCCGGCCATCGAGCACGTGGCCGGCCGCGATCCGCAAGCGGCCATTCCATATACGGCCGCAATCGGCGACCGGCTATTTCCAAAGCGGCCGGCTTCGGCCACCGACCGTCGTAGCAGATTCGTTAAAAATTTTTAAAAAATTATTTATAAAGCAAAAAAACAAAAGGAAAAAAGAAAAACATACCGTACCGATCATGTATCCCTTAACCATGCCCCCGCGATATCGTGGCATTTTTTCAGAATTATTTTGACGTGCGACGAGGCGGCGGCGACGAGAGGAAATAGAGAGTAAGAGAGTCTCTAGTTTTCTTTCAAATCTGATAAGGGCAAAATGGTCTTTAAGAGCAGTAGGTAAGATATAGGGGGCGGTATTTGGTATTTAGTAATTCACAGTAAAAATCAGATTAAAAGCCATTGCAATATCATAAATTACTGATTGCAAATATATCCACAATGTATCTCACAAATTATTTAATATAAGCCAAAACACATTCCCACAAAATCTTGAAAACATCTACATGTTCATTCATATTCTTTATGTACCACAAGGTAAAAATAGTAAGACTTGAGTCAGAAGCAATATATGCATCCTCTTTGGGCAAAAGGGACCTTGTTCATAGTTTAGTGCGCAAAATTTGAGCTGTTCTTGTCCCAGGGGCTTATCTTTGAATAATTCTCAAGGGATAGTGGATCCACATCAGTATTTTACCTGCAAAATTATAATAAAAGACATTCACAATTCAAGCAGAGCATAACTTTTTTAGCACAGAAGTGTGTATACCCCACGAGATATAATATAAAATAAATAAATAAGATAAGATAAGATTCAATATTATTTTTATTTATTCATTTTACAGCACATGATAATGTAACATTGATTAGTATGTCGACGTACAATATTTTAAAATATTAAAAAAATTATAAATTTTAAATGTGATATTTGATAATTTAATTATTTAGTATTTTTCAAATAGTAAAAATCTTGCTATGAATATTTTCATTGTTATTTTGAATCATAGTTTAACTTGTGGTTCGCCCTGCATGCAACAACCAATTAGTTTGTAGATGAATGAATTTCAGAAATAGATAAATGATACTAACGTGTACTGCAATGACGAATCCAGCAGCAACAAAGGAATCACATTAAACCCAATTGAAGCTTTAACCAAATCCAAATCCTTCACTAGCTTCGTGGATCGCTAGGAACAAACGTCCTTGAAGCTGCTCCTTGGAAGAATACTCGGGAAGGTCCAGTTGGTTAAAGCTGTAAAGTGGAAGTAAAGAGAAATGAATTTGCAGGACAAGATTGGAAAAAGAAAAGGAAAAACACTTGAAAAAGTGGCAAGCACATCATAAACTCAACAATCCAATACTACACATCATCATATTCACTAATGTGAATAGATTTACCATGTGTGAGCTGATGGAAGCCTCTCAGGAGCTCCATATGCTTTGTGAATTTGAAACTTCTGGGGACCAGATATGCCTTGCAGTGCCTTAAAACCTTCAAGAGGGACCTAATAAAACAAGCAAATACAAATTAGTCCCCAACAAAATCTTTCAATCAACTAGACCAGAAATGGAAAAGTTCAGCCAGCACAAACATGTTATGTAGACAAGTAAAAGCTGTCCCAAATAAAAAAAAAAAAAAACCTTTAAGGGAAATACTTACAAGAATTACAAAAGTAATTCCCCCTGATCAAAAGCACTATTAACACTTTTTATCTAATATCTATAACCACACTGGGGAATAAATATACGGAAGTTCTTCACTTATATGTCAATGACTAAAATTATCCAGGGAACATTCAATAACAAGATACAGTACCAACATTTGGGACCAAAACTATGATTATTATAACTCACATATTAGATCACCAATGTCAGAACTTTATGACAAATCAGGTTTAAATGAATCACCTTTGAGGTTCCTGTTACAAACTGCAAAAATCTTGCCATATCTTCCTTGCTGAATGCTTCGACAACCTCCCAAAACCACTGAACAACACTAGATGCTGGGGTATAGCCAGTATACTCGGTATTGGCCTTCAGATCAGCCACTACAAAAGATATGAAGTCATTAACTTTTTTCCGGTAATACTGGTAACAGCATATTTAGGGCTTGATTGTTTATGAAATAATTTTTTCAAAATGAGTTATTTTGGTTAACTATAGTTAATTTGAAAAAGGTGGTATAGTTAGTTGTTAGTGGAATTTTAAGAATGAATTACAATAATATTTAAAATAAAATTATTAAAATTGATTTGATGTAAAAGTAGGAGATAAATGATTGAAAATGATTGGAAATAATATGTAGTTAAAATTGTGTGAGTGGATGAATAGTGAATTAAAGTTGATGTGATGCGTAAGAATGATTGGTTTGTATTATTTAATTATAAATAATATTAAAGATAGTGGAGTTGAGTTAGATTTTGAGTATGAAATAAAGTTGAGTAAATTATTCCATAAACAATCAAGCCCTTAGTGATTCAGTAGAGCCACACCAACTTAGTACTTACAATCAATTTCTGGAAGACCGCTAATCAACAGTTCGAGCTCTTTATCGTTGAAGATAGAAATAAGCTCCCGTGGTACTAATTCATTGAAGCCTTCAAGGAATGAATTTATTTGAGGACGGATAGCATTAGTCAAAATGTGATCAGCAACAAGATCTACGTATTCATGCTTTGTTTCTTCCATCACTCTTATATTTCTTCCACCCGGTTTGAGCTCATAGTCAGTAACCTTCATAATTCAACAACTCGATAGAATTAGTGATAAACTGGCATTATTCTGGAGACAAGTTTTTGTTTTGAATTGCGAATTCCAAATACAAGGAAGAAATATCAATCTGATACAAAAACAAACATACTCATAGCAGTACCTCTGTTTTCTCATAAAGGATGTGCTTTTCTTCATCTGCATCCATGCTAAATGTCAGATCAGGTATGTCACTCACATCATTCTGCACATGAGGAAGAAACAAAATAGGTAAGAACCAATTGATTTTCTAAGACCATCTCCAATGCTTAAATGTTCAGACTCAAATTATGACAAATTTCAACTAGTTAAATGGATTGTGAATCACAGAGAATTTTCAAGTCTACGACTATAGAACTAAAAAATTCTCTCTAATGCACAATGTAATCACAATATTAACCACTTGGCTAAAATTAAATATTTATGAACAAGAAAGAAAATCAGTTAAATAGGTAGATAGCATGTAATTGGTAATATCATATTCACTCCTTGCAATTGTTTAGCTAGAGTATGGATGGATGGACCACATTCTTGTCTACATTGTGGACATTAATTATTTACACATCATCCCTACATCTATGATCACATGGTGCATTGGAGGATAAAAAGTGAAGGCAATATTAAATCTGCTTACGTGAAACGTAATATACTACATGTTAGTATTGGAGATGCTTTAAGCTGAGAAAAAAAACGATTAACTCCAACTCACCTCCAACATCCATTTAAGATTTTTATAGTAATCTGGATCAACAGCCTCTATATCATGATAAGTCACCTTCACTCCAAGGATATGCTTGTAGAAGGAGCGAGTAAAATATACATCAAGCAGTTGTCCATCAAAAAGTGCCTTAGCGACCTACAATGGAAAATTGTGAAAGGTTAGGATTACTTTCCTCTAAGAAAAAAGAAAGAAAATAAAAGATTGAAGATGATTAAATAGAATTTAAAGATACTTTAAGGTCAAGATGGGTTGTTATGGGTAGTTACCACGCGGCCTATGAATTTGAAATACGAGAGATGCTCAGTTTGATATACAGAATTAGGATTTGGCTGGAAAGTCGCATCGTTTCCAACAGTAGTGAAAAGCAAAGCTCCTTTGTCAAATATGACCCTCGACAGCAACTGATACCACTCCCTAGTCAAGCCACCGGCATCAATACCCTCTTCACCTTGGAAATGCACATTCAACCGTCCCTTAAGGTCCTGAGTTGACCGCATGCGAAGCTGGTTGTATGAGTCCTCCAAAATGTATGCTCGCCTAACGCTAATGCGCAGTGGGCCCGACAAATGTTGGTCATGCTGCTGTCGGATCCTGGATCGGAAATAAGCCCTCTTGTTGTCAAAATCAATTAGCCGAGGAGCATCCAGCATCATCGAGAGTGACTTCTCCAATAAGCCAGGATTCTGCCTTACAAAAGCATTAAGAAGGCGACGGTGCTTCTCAGCAAACCTAACAAACGTGATAGACCCATCAGTTTTCTTGTAAGCATCCATGGATTTGGTAAACTGGACCGAACTCCCAGCAGACTCTTTCACTTCTCTCGCTGTCACGTCAAGATCTTGCTGCAAAGTGGAATTATTGGCCAGCAAATTCTCACAAAGAACGAAGAAGCCCTCGATAAAAGGCAGGAGCCTCTGAGTCCCAGGGGGTAAAGGGGAAGTTGCTGACGAAGAGCCCTGAATCTGTTCTCCAGTGCTATTATTGCTTGAGACAATGGAAGAGTCGGGTCTCTGGCTCAACTCGTTCTCCATTGTACTAATGCAATCGCTCAGTTCTTTCCACAGGGGCTCCAATGCAGCATTTAACTTGCACATTGTCACTTGCTCTTCCTGCTCTTCTCCATCCACTCTGTCCTTATCACTGTCGCTGCCAATGGAAATAAGCGAGCTGAGAATCTGAAGAACGCGAAGAATGGCAGCCCCAGCCATTGACCCAGCGCTCAATCCCAGCATTTGTGTGTTCCTTAGTTTGACGAGTTCGTTGACGGCTGACGTGCTCAGCCTTTCGGCCGACTCCGAAAGTTCCAAAATGAAAAATCGGCGATGAACAGAAGCCACTGAAGCCAACTTCATCAGCACATCACCAGCCAGGGTGTAAACTTTGTCAGAAAGCCTGAGTAATATTATATAGAACAGGTGAAACCCGCAGCATTTGTCTCTATTACATGACTAGTTTTTAGCATAGAACAAGAAAGAGATTGGGAAATGGTTGTATACAAATGCTGGCAATATTTTAGACAAACATGCATCCTATAAACAACAAAAATTAAGAATGATGATCAAACAAAGAAAGTGTACCCTTCATGCCCAAGAAGACTACAAAGATTATGCAAATCTGATTGTGGCATCAGCAAGAAGACATCATAAGTTCTAGTTGTTCTCTGATCATCCAATTTGGCGTTCAAAGCACTGGCATTCTGGTCTAGTTGAGATTCTGCTCCTAATGCATTAGTATCTGTCCTGATACTGCCGGCAGTTTCATCTACAGAAGGGTTTTCAGTTGGAGGCGCAGTTTCTTCAGCATTTGACAGAGCATCTACCTTGGAAGCTGCAACACATATTACAACTTGGAGCAGGCCCATGACCTAGCAGGGAACCATATATATACACAAATTATGCAAAACAGATACTCACTGGCATTTTTTAAAATCAATACTGAAGACCAGAATGGAATACCTGCTCAAGATGCCCCATGCTCCGTAGGAAGAGTGGTTCTCTTAAAAGCCTAAGAAGTAATATCAAAGGGATGTCCCCTTTCTGTGAGTTTTCGGAAAACCCTCCGATGATGTTCTTACCTTTTCCATTACTGTCCCCTCCATGGTTTATGGATGAAAGTTCATGAATATTTGAGCTCTCAAAGTGGCACAAGAGGCTGGAAACACCAGAGTGATTTGTAGCCAGATAGGTCAGGTTCTCAAGCACTCGGCGTAAAACTAATGGTGGAACACCTGAGTACAATAGAATCCCTCATAAAATCTATGTACGAATAAAAGAATATTTCACATTACCAGGATTTAGTGGGGGAGAGGGGAAGATGTAATACAATTATGACGTACAGACTGATTGTTGGTACGTCCTTCGTCCAATTTATAAAAGAAAATATTATATTAGCAGGCCAAGTGAATAATAGCTTACCATCACATAATTGAGATCGGCCATAAACAACATTAGACTGGCATCCATAAAGTCTCTGTGTATTAACTGAAGTCACTCCACCAACTACGCCTGAAGTCTCAGGCTTGATCATATCAACCAGAAGCCGAACAAGAATTGCTCTTGTATCACTGTGTGAGCACAAGTTCAAAAGAAGTCTCTGCAGTAGACCTTTCCCCAGAGGCTACAAGCAAAAAGTAGGCAAAATATTAAGTTCCATACAGCACATGGATATTCAGAATATTAGATTTCTAAACGGAAAGGTATCTAAACTAGTTCAGCACATGCTATTTCTACAGAAAAACAGTTACAGAGCATCTATATTTCAACTATTTAGCAATCCATCACACAAAAAACCACTATAAGATCATGCATCTGGCAATGTACAGGCTTTCACCAAAATGTAGATCGAACTTGTAAACTACCTGCGCCAGTCGTAACAAACGGATTAACGCTTTCAACCCATTAGCATCCAGAAGTGGTTCGCCATCAATTTCATTCAACTTCAGATTCTCTGCAACATAAGCTGCCCTCCGCCCGATAGAGACTCCAACACCCCTATCCATAGCCGTTTGCCTGTCAAAACCCAATCTATTTGCTCTGTTCAGTCTCTGGTTACCTCCAAACAAGCTGCGGGCATGATAATGGCTCATTGCTCTGTCTCGGAGCATTTGTGCTTCAGCAAGTAACGGAGATGGCAGTGCGGATAATAGTGCCTCCGAAGACGTTAATAGCACCTAAAGTAAACAAAAGAGAAAACATAAGCAAATGCAGATAGGTGAATTACATGAAGAACTTGTAAGACACGAACCTCTTCACGCAGATCAGCAGGGAAAGTAGCAATAATTGAAGCATTGTCCATGTCAACGGGTTGTCCTTCAGATTGCTGAGCAATCCTTTGCGCTCGCTGTTGAGCAAGAACTTCAGCTTGAATATCAGGAGGAAGAGCGGCCAAAAATTCAGGATCAATGTCTTCTTCAACTCTAGGAGGTGCATAGGTAGTAGAAGGTGCAGCTGTCCGAGCTTGCTGTGAAGCAAGAACCTCAGCACGAAGATCTTCAGGGAGTGCCTCCAAAAATGTCGGATCTATGCCATTGGCATTATTAGGAGCCTCATTATTCAAATTACTTTCTTCAGTCTGGTCCGCATCTTCAACAACAGGATTATTTAGCAGTTGAGATGGCTCCTCAAGGTTAATTTCAGACAGAAGTAATCGTGTGCCAGCCTGCTCCCCTTCCACTTCAGTGGCATTCACGTAAACATCACCACTTGCTGGAACTGAAGCATGAAAATCACCAGAACCTGTAATATCTGTTCCAGAGTCTGATAAACCATGAGAAGTAGGCGGATTTTCTGATCCTCGGTCAGAGAGCACACTATCCGGAGCAACAGAACCCAAATATGTCTCCAGATCCTGTCCCCCAACATTATGCACATCCCCTGTTTCCATTCTATCATCACCAACATCACTACGAATATCTTGCGCTTCTTGTTGGCCTTCCCTTCCAGACAAGACCTCTCGATTGACTTCATCTGGTTGAGCACCTTCGTCAATGCTGCTAATATGGTGATCATCAATTAGTAGAGCATCAGTAGCAGAAGTGGGAGCTCTTTCCTGCCTTTCCGGTAATGCTACGTTCTGTTCAAGTCTTTCAGGAGAATTATTATTGCTCAACAGAGAAATAAATTGATCTTCAACAGCCTGAGCAATTACAGCAGCTTGACCATCACCTTGTGGCTGGCCATCATCAGACCACCGGCCATCACCTGGCCGCCCTCTTCGACTCGATCCACGCAATGACTCTAAACCAACAGAAAAATCAGCTAGTTGTTGCGGGCCAGAACCACCAAATAGATTGGTTGCACTATCATATGGAAGAACAGGAGCATCAAACATGTAAAACTGAGCGAGATCATGGTTACCGGCAGAAAGGCCTTCTGAATCGCGGGAGTTTCCAGCAGAAGTCGAACCTATATCACCAGAATTCAATGGCCTTGAAAGGAGAGGATGTTGAAGGCCATTTCCATCTGCAACAGACCGCTCGTAGGAAGTTCTGTTAGTTTGGCGACGGCGCTCAAAGCCAAAAGTTCTACGGATTCCAAAGAAGTCGTCGACATTCACTCCTTCGAAAGCTTCTGCAGAGACATCAATCAAACCTCCCCCTGCTCCAGGTTGTCCAAGGACCTGCAAATGGTCTAAACCATCAAGAGCTTCTCTCCACCTCACCTCAATTACATTATTTTCATGGAAGTCGTCATCCTCTTCATCAACCATTTCATCGTTGTATTCATCACCCAACCCAGCATCATCATGGTCCTCAATGTCAGTATCAGCCAATGACATTAAGCCAGTGCCTTCCCCTATAGCATCATCTTCATCCTCAGCATCATCATCATCCTCACCATCATCACCCATGCCATCCTCTTCCTCATTCATATCATCATCTACTCTGGTCTGCACATGAAAAGCGATCTCGATTTGCTCAGTGTTGGGCAAGGCACCACTTTCTTCCATATCATCATGCATATAATCCATCCCAAGATCTACGTGTGGATCATTAGCGGGATGCTCCTCGATCCTCATCTCTTGCCCCTGGGGCTGGTTTGGATTTGCACTACTATTCGATCCTGTGCACATTCACAAATGTATATAAAATTTTATACGTTATATATGTGTTTTTATGCAAAATTTAAAAATCATAAGTTAGATAATGAACATATCACATTTATAAATTTTTATCATTAGTACAAATGAACGATATAAACATAAACTATTTAACTTACATAATAATCCTTAAATTTATGAAATCTTAATTGATTATGACGAATTAATTGGATAAAACAATATTGAAATTATTATGATAGCAATTAAGTACAAAATTTTAAAGTTATGCCATAAAAATTAATTAACTAATTTTAATAAAAGACTTGCTTAATGAGGTGAACAAAAAAATAATTTTAAATAATAGTTTGAAAAAAGTTTCATATTAGAATGACATTTAATGTGACTTTATCATTAGTTAATAGTAGCAATTATATAATAAAATAAATAAAAATATAATTGTTTCATTAATGCAAAAGTAACGGAAAAGGGCGGGAAAACAAAAAGAGTTATATTAAATTATTTGCTAGCAATTATATATGTATATATATATAGATTATGATTACCATTTTCCCAAGAGATACCAGCAGGTTGTGATTCTGAACGTCCATTACTCATGAGCCCATGTTGCGAGCTTCCATTTTCAGCAGATTGTAGTTGAGAATTTCCAGAACCTACAAGCTGTGTAGCAGCACTTCCACTTAGATCGTTCACCTTTTTCTTATTCAATGTATTTGCTTTGAGAAGTTGTTCACTAGCATTGGCCGCCCTAGTAAGGCTTTCCAAAGACTTGAGTATGAGATTCACAACCTTTGGTGCTTCAGGATGGTCCAAATCAACTACCTGAAGAATGCTGGATAGGCAATGGACAACTCCTCCATCAATCATGCTTTTAGCAATATCAGGTGAACACCCAGAACCCGGTAGGTTTCCGGATGAAGAATTCTTCGATAAAATGGAATATACCAGATCAACATAGGCAAGAACTTTCTTATCAGGTAATAAAGTGCCGCTAGAAGAGTTATTCTGAACATTTATAAATTGCGATAAAGCTTTCACAAGTTCATTGACCACCCTTCTCCTTCCTTCACTGGAACGACCAGCCAATACAACCAGAAACCACGAAGCTTTTTCAGCAAGCTTGTCTCTCCACTCATCAGGGCCAGCAGATTTATCCATTGACAGGGGAAGAAGACAATGTAACAAATGGTGGACTACGCCACCCTGTCCAGGACTTTCAAAATTACTGGACCCACGCTGTTGACACATTTCCAGGTCCCGTCTCAAGATTACACCAACGACTTGAACATACATGAGGAGAATATCACTCAATAACTTGAGAACAAATGTCACCTTAGCTAGAGTTGCAGCTTTCTCGGAGGAACTGTCAGACCCGGTTTTTACAGTTTCATCAACCTTTGATTTACCTTTCATTTTCAAGGTTGGTTCATCTACCTCCATGGCACTTGGATGGCCTCCACAATCATCATCCACATTGACTGAAGGGTAAGTTGACACAATTTCAAGAAGATAATCAATCACTTGGGTGAGGTTTGCTGAAACCTTTTTGTAGCCTTTGGAGTACTTATTAGACCCGTCATGAGTCTTCTGTTCAGTTATTCGTACACATTCATTAGTGGACACTCCAGTCTCAGAGCTTTTTAACTTCTCTTTCTCTTTGTCTTTATCTTTAGACAGCACTACCATGGTCCTTCCTCCTACAGACTCCACCTGACACACAGCAACTCCAGATTTCATAAAGACCCCTGGATCTCTGGATATAACGGGTGCCATTAATGTTAGAAATGTTTTCGCCGATATTCTTCCATTGTACCTACTACCACTCAGTGTTTGTCGTATCTCAACTTCCATAGCTGATTGCAATGTGTGAGGATCTTCAAGAAGATGCCGAACAATAGCAGATGCTAAAGTGTCATACCCAGGAAAGAAGCAACTCATTGGAAGGCCAAAAAGGGCAACCAAGCCTCCGTTTTCAAGGAATTGCAGAGCCAGAGCGTGTGATTTTGTCAAGCGTGCACACAACTGAAGAGCAGCCTGCATAATGATTGAAGGTACGTGTCTTTTCATCAAGTTACAAACAATTACAAGTACCTTATGGCTCTCCTCCATCGACAAATAACCAGTTGGTTTGCCAAAAACTTTTTCCAAGGCAGAATCATCCTTGGCAGAGTCATTATCCTTGCACACATCAGATGGAACTGATTTGTCCTCAATTGCTTCAGATGATGCTTGATTTCCCAATGCACCAGATAACGATCCGGGTAATACTCCCTCGCCATTATCACCAGGAATCCTGGGCCTAGATTGTACCAAATCATCCAAAATAAGAAGTAATGCGCTAATGCATTTAGGCACATGGAGCTCTGTTAAAGCCTCAGTCTTGGACATAAAGTTCATCAAGATATCAATTACCACCACCGCAATACCATTTTCTGCAGCAATTTCCCGAGTGACACCATCTTCTGCAAGAAGTAATGCTAGAGTATGGGAGATTCTACCCAGCGCACAGCTGTCATTAGAGAAATCAAGTGCGCAAAGCTTTAGCTGCTGAACAAGATAAGAAATCACTTTGGAGCGCTCCTCCCCTTTGTTCCTGCTGCAAAGAGTTACAAGCAGATCTGTAAGTGGAAAGGCCAAGGCATCACTACCCTCAAATAATTTCGTTGCAACAGCAAGAACATTATCAGCCAGAGGGGGATTCGAGTTTCCCTCTTCGTTCAAGACATCGGCAGACTTATCAGCACCATCGACTTTAGGTGATTCTGTAGAATTTCCCAGAGATAAAGCAAGTGCACGAGCTAGCTCGTCATCCTCTTGAACAGGATCTTCAGCATGACTGAACAGCCACTCCATTGCCATCTCAACGCTGTTTGTTTCCACTCGTCTCAGTGCCTCCTCAGCTCTCGCTCTTGAAAAGCCCATCTCAACAATGGTAGCAATCGTAGCTTCATCAGGGGGCGGTGGCATGAAGCGTTGGTGAGCTGCTCCAGATAGTCCATTGCGACTTGTTTTTATATCACTTACGCCATTGTATACATGAGTAAGTAGTGAAACGATGGAAGTGATAAAACCAGGGCTACAGTTGGGGAACATCGGATGGTTCCACACAGGAAGTATCACATCTAAAACTTGAGACTGTAGCATACGGACCAATGCTTCAGGGTCCCTAGGAACGGGGAACAGCCCAATGGATAAACCGACTGCAACAGGCTGAACAAGTAGCTGAGCCTGAGATGTTGAGGTCGAAGACAATAATATCCCAGAATTCACAAAATACTCGAGCTCACGACAATGACTTTGCAATGTATCGAGCAGCCACAAACTGTGAGACAGCTTACTCCCTTCGCCACTTTTCTCGTGATCAGAACCTGGCGCAGAAATAGCACAGGGAACAGTCCACAACAACTGACTTGTTGCCTCAAAAGTTGTAAGAAGCTCCTTGAAGGTCCCATGCACATAAAATTTGTTGATCATAGAAGCATAACATGTTCGCCTCCTGTTATCAAATGTAAGGGCCGCCATATCATCCACGACTTTCCCAAGATAGCGACATTTGACCGACAGTGACACGTCGACTCCAGTGGAACTGGTGTACCCTGAGAAACCCAGAGAGTCCAGAAAAACTTTTGCAAGGGCAGTCCCAATTGCCTTCGAAGCAGAACTTAAGGGCCCAGTTTCAGTTCTTCGACGAGTTGGTGACGTAAAACCTTTCACCAGTGCTGTAAAGAAAGAACATATGGTTGAAGCAAGCTTATTCAGAATATCTACAGCCACCATTTCAGGACTTCTCGTCTTCATCCCATGGGAAGGAGCCTTTGCACTAGATGTTCCGGATTCAGTATCAATTTGTAAAGCTTCCAAGTGCCTTCCAGCCGCTCTGCCACCATGAAGACGAGCTAAACTATGTCGGCTACGTCGACTGAAACCTTCACTTGAACGCACCACAGATATGAAGTCACGCTCAACTCCCCATTGTGAGTGGGAACTATTTCTAATAGAGAGAGGATTCATATATCTAATGGATGGAATATTAGAGTCATCATCACTCTCCCTTCCAGCCACATTAGATGGACCTGCATCTGTATTATCGGGCTCCACTTCAGCATTTGACTTCTCCTCCACCTTCAACTCACAACACAAAGATACTTGCCACTGAATTTCCCTGTAAGTCTTCCCAAGTTCCTTTAAGACATCCGCATCAGCAGAACCCAGTTCAGAGACCAATGTAGTGGTGCCTTTTAGTAAAGAAATAGAAAGAGACAGGATCCCTTCCAATGTAGTGAGGCACCTCAAGATCTTTACTCTATGGGAAAACTCAATCTCAACAAGCTGGCGTCCCTTAATTGAGGTCAAAAGTTCTTCCGTGGACCTCAAATGTTCTCTCAGAAATGTGCATACTGCACGAGCAAGAGAAGTAGAGTGCTGAGGTGAGAAATTCTTGAATGCAACAGCTATGCTTTGACCAAGAGAAACTGAGAGGGGCAGAAGAGGCAACGAGAATAACTGCAGGACACACTCAATTCCTTTTTTCTCAACAAAAATCCGGCAAGTATCAGAATTTTGAAGTACTGTTTCAAGAAGACGAGCAACATTGCTGATATAATCAGGCAAAGAAGATTCAACATTCAATGATGACGTATCGGGGACAATGTCCATTAATTGCTCATTAGTTCCATGCCTTGATGATTCTTTATCATCAACCAAGATCACGTCTCTATTCTCAGATTCAGTTTCCATAAGAACAGGCTGAGAGGAGCTAGGAGGATCTGAGGACGGTGAAGCCGATTCGAGTCCAGATCCAATTTTTGCAATATTAGTAAGTATCTCAATCAGCATGTCAACTCCTGACCCACGCAATGATGCAGCATGGCGCATTAATTCATCTAAACCGCTGGACAAGGAACCTGACGTATCGGCAGTAAGGGCTCGCAGGTACGTTTTAGACGTAAAAACTTTTACAAAGCACCTCAATGCATCGCGTTCTTTCACAGCCTGAAGACCGTTGTTGTTCAAACACAAGGCATCAAGACACTGAGGTATGCAAGTGATAGCTTCTGCAGAACAAAGAACACCATCCATAATAGCATCCATGAAGGCAGAAGGAAGACCTGCTGCTTCTAGGACAGAGAAGCATGTAGGATCTTTGTGGATTAAGTCACTCATGACAGTTGCTGCAAGTGAAAATACACCCCCACCAAAATCTTTTGCCCTTTTAAATATGATACACAAGCAATGTGGCAACAAGCTTTCTTCTGTACCATACATTCGAGCTGCTGTGCCAGGAGCATAAGTTCCTAAAGATATAGCACGCAGTAGGGCTTTCATCAATAACCGCCGATGATACGAAACCAAAGCTCCCGAATGCGGAGGCTGCAGACTATCAAGCACGGTAGAAGACGCATCTGAAATTACTTGAGAACCACCACTCTCTGAATGTTCACCAGAGGAAGTCTGCTGCTTCAAACCATTTTCAACATGAGATACTTCTACCATTAAACGTGATATTGTATCATCCAAACCACCCAAATCACGGAAAAGAACAGCAGCTGGATTGCTGTAATCCATAAAAGCTTCCAGAACATGTACAGCTGTACTAACCAAATGCAAGTGCTGGGGATCTGTATCTTTCAATAGAGGCAGGAGAGTGGGGATAAATCCAGCCTCACGCATAGCTGAGCATCCTGATGATGAAGACACTAAGACAGTAACAAGAGATAACAGAGCCTCCGCAAAAACAACAGACCACTTGGATGAATCACTAACAACCGAGCCAATTGCTTTCTGCATGAGGCTAGATAGAATACCACGGTGCCCCCCAGAAGTTACAGCAGTCAACACAGTAGGCTGACGAGACCTATCTTGACAAAGGGCAACCAAAGAAAGAAGACATAATATTCGAATTTTTTCAGGAACCGCATCTTCAATGCTTAACATAGTAACCAACTCATTGATGAACTCCGGCTCAGTGTTGAAGAAGGAAACCAGGTCCTCAGTATTACTACATGCTTGAACAAGAACTACAAAAGCATACAGCCGTATGCAAGTATACTGCTGCCTTGTCTCTAGGGAGCCAAAAGCCTTAGCAAATCGCAATCTTGTCAAAAGAGAAAATCGCAAATTATGTGGAACTTTATATTCAACAATTAATTTATTCAGAAGTTCAAGATCAGACTCTTCTCTGGCATTCACGTCGGGCATATGTATAGTTTGTAAACCCTGAGTTGGCTGTTCTGAGGCAGTTGGCTCATTAGAAGATATGTTCATAGCATAAAATTCAAAATGCAGAGTGCTACCCAGCTCAAAAGCAATTGGGTCAGCTCCATTCTGTAGAGCACAGGAAACCAACCCAAGACCTTCTTCTTTACCCCCCCAACCTTGGGCAAAAGAAACTAATCTTGAATTCAGAGAAACGTCTCTAATAATGTATTTCCCGATGGATTTCTTCAAAAAGGCTGCCAAGGTCTGCAGGCATGCCTCCACGACATCTGCATCAGTGGAAGCAAGCAGAGATGACAAGTGATGCTGCACCAACAATGAGAAAATTGAAAAATAAGACAGCTGTACAACATGGAAAACATGAACAAGCAGTGATATTTAAATTGTAAATACAATCACTCTGTTCATTTGGAAAAAGATTGAGCAATGCAATGCAAGTGAGACAAAGAAAATCATATACAAGAAAATCAATGGATATTCAAACACATCTATCATTTAAGTAATGAAAATTAAATTCCTGTTTTCTAACCAATTGTCGTCCACAAAAGATATATTGATTATTAAGTCGTTCCTCCCTCTCTTACATACACATACCACATCCTCACACACTAGCATAAGCATTTTTGCTTTTACAATTTTAAATTATTAGGGAAATAAAACGGGGCCAAGGTCTTGCACCATCAGGTCGGGTGGACAACCTCGGTATGGAAAATATTTCCTCACTCAAAGAAGCAATGACATTTGCATAAAGGGATGGTAACATATAAAAAATAATGAATCTAGAAAGACCACATTCCAGTAGATAAAAAAACTGTTGCCTTTGAATGGTTCAGGGACAAGATTTGGAATCTTTAGTGCAATCCATCACCTACGAAATTGTCAGAGTAACTTTCAATGTTTTAAACCAAAATCTCAAAGGACAACACAAATACTCCTTTATTGGCAACATATTTGGAGAAAATAATTATATTACAAAGCTTTGTTTGAGGCACAAAGAAGATATTCTCATCCACTTATTCCAAGTGATCAGAAATCAGTAGGTTTTTCTATTTCTTTTCTTATCTGTTTTGGTGGACGTAAAAATACTTTCAAATGAATATTAACACACAATACCCCTTCACCCTCTTTCCAATTCTATTATTGTCTATTTAAATTATATACAGCCTCCTTTGCCATCATCGTACCCCCATCCCCGACTTCTCCACCCTTGTTCACAGCCTTCCAACCATCTAAGCCTACAAAGTCACCAAAAACAAGCTACCAAACAGCAGTTTTGATAATTCTACAAGGAGATATGTCAACTATATATTTCTTATTTGTGCGTTGTTTAAGTTAATATATAGAGAACGAATACATCGTGGTATTAAATTGTGATTGTTGTGGAGTACGTTGGGCCATCCATTACTCGTATAACACGAAATTTGAAGTATCTATTAACTTGTTAGAGGAATACTGGTTACACTTGCTTCAAAATTATGCAGCGGTATGAGGTTGGAAGCAAAACACTGTCAGATAAGAATAACACTGTACCATGTGCTTTCACAATAACCCAGAATGGTTACTACGGTTGTTTAGCCTCATATAGACATGTGATATCCCAAGAGTTAACATAGTTTTTAATGTTAACTAAAAAATCTGCAGGTCTCAAGCAAATTAAATACTCAGAACAATTACATTAAGTAATTTGGACAGAGAGGAAATCCCTTTCCCCCCAATTGAAGCAAGTGTCAAACATGTTCTAGCTCCACAAAATAAGCATGATTTCCAGAACTAAGATAAATATGTACCTCATAGGAGCTGTAGAAATGCTTATTTGTGCAATTCTCTAATATTACTCGAATGACACGGAGAATCTGTAGAACAGCATCCCTTGGGAAGGGTGGATCCGATTCCAAAAAATTCTCCTCAAGCTGCAAATCCTTCCTTGGTTTGATGTATTTCTCAAAAAAGGTGTCAAAATGATTAAACAAGTCAACCCAATGATGGAAATCTCCCTGCATTGGCACAACTCAGCATTACTAAAGAATGTTGAACAAATAAATCTGACAATTCTGACAGAGTGAAGGATATACCTTATCAAACTCCCAAGAAAAACTTTTCAGTGGTTCTTCGATATTCTCAAGTGGCGTAGCAGTAACTTGGTTGATGAAGGATTTAATCCTCGAAGGCTACAAAAAGGAGAGATCCATTATTTCCAATATCGTGAACTTAAATATTGCCACATTTAAAAAATAAATTAAAAAAATAATAATAACAGTTTAGGAACATAACAAGAGAACGGTAGGAACTATGAACGATGCACTGTGAAAGCCATAGAAAATAAATTATATGAACAGGAAAGGTACAGAAATGTTAACAAAGGATACCTGAAGCTAAAAATCAGATGAAGAAATTTCGCTTCATTCCATAAATTTCTATCGAGTTGGGAATATACTGGGTATGTTGTTGTTGTTGTCCATAAATTTCTATCGAACATTACACACAATACTGATTCCAATGCGCAGATTTACATGACAAGTATAAGAAAAATAAGTACTGCCTAAAAGCTTCAATTTAGTCAAGTAACAGTTTCACCATTGCAAGACCAATAACATCAGTACACTTGATTAGAGTACATTTGTTTAATGTTTCGAACAACAATTATTCTACCAATAAACCAAATATTCAAAAATA